AAATTTTTATTAATTTTCCAAACATAAGATAAGAAAGCAAACAATACACAAAACACCGACATACAAACATATAAACATGTATAATTTCATAGCCATTTTTCATAAACCTTACTTTCCGGACTTCCCCATACCTCCCCTTTTCTGCATCCTTGTTTTATATTTCTTCAGCAACTCCTCAATCAACTAATTATTCAATTCAATTTCTTTTAAGTTCTTCTAATATTATTAATTACAGCTGCAGTTCTCTGTTTCCCAACCCCTTGACATTTTAACATTCCTGAATTTTACAACAAGTTCTAAGATAAACTTTAAATTTCTTCCAATCTTCTTCCACTGTCTCTTTCCCCTGGTCACGGATTCTGCCAGTCAATTCGGCCAGTCCCATATAGTCGATCACCTTCGTCTGCCATTCTTCCAGTGTGGGTAGTTGTTGTGTCTTCCAATACTTTGCTAGAAGAATCCTTGCTGCTGTTGTCGCATACATAAAACGTCCTGTCCTTCCTTCTCACCAATTGGCCGACAATGCCCAAGAGAAAAGCCTCTGGTTTTTTAGGGAAGGTCCATTTAAGAACCTTCTTAATTTCATTATAGATCATTTCCCAAAAAGCTTTTATCCTCGGGCAGGTCCACCAAAGGTGATAAAAAGTACCTTCAGTCTCATTACATTTCCAACATTTGTTATTGGGCAGATGATAAATTTTTGCAAGCTTGACTGGGGTCATGTACCACCTATACATCATTTTCATAATGTTTTCTCTTAAGGCATTACATGCCGTAAATTTAATACCGGTGGTCCACAACTGTTCCCAGTCAGCAAACATAATGTTATGACCGATATCTTGTGCCCATTTTATCATAGCTGATTTCACCGTTTCATCCTGTGTATTCCATTTCAACAGCAGATTATACATTCTCGACAGATTCTTAGTATTGGGTTCTAACAGTTCTGTTTCCAATTTTGACCTCTCCATCTGGAAACCTATTTTCCTGTCCTGTTTAAATGTCTCGTTTATCTGAAGGTAGTGCAACCAATCTCGCACTTTGGACTTTAATTTCTCATAGCTCTGTAATTTAACTTTTCCCCATCTTGTTCTAGAATTTCACAATATTTTGGCCATTTAGACTCCATATTAAGTTTTTTCACCTCTTTAGCTTCCATTGGTGACAACCACCTGGGAGTTTTACTTTCCAATAGATCTTTATACCGCATCCAAACATTGTATAATGCTTTCCTAACAATATGGTTTTTGAAACCTTTATGCTGTTTTACCTTATCATACCATATATATGCATGCCAACCAAATCTATTATCAAACCCTTCTAGATCCAAAATATCTGTATTCTCAAGAAGTAGCCACTGTTTCAACCAGCAGAAAGCCGCCGATTCATAGTAGAGTCTTAAGTCCGGCAGGGCAAACCCCCCTCTATCTTTAGCATCAGTTAGATTCTTAAATTTTATTCTGGGCATTTTCCCTTCCAGACAAATTTAGATATATCTTTCTGCCACTTCTTGAAACAGTCCATCTTGTCCAAAATCTGCAATGTCTGAAATAAAAACAACATTCTAGGCAATACATTCATCTTGATAACAGCAATTCGGCCTAACAAAGAAAGTTTCAACCTTGACCATATTTCTAGATCCTTCTTTACCTCTGTCCAACATTTATCATAATTGTCCTTAAATAAATTCACATTCTTAGATGTTAAGTTTACCCCCAGGTACTTTACTTTTTTCGTTATCACTAGTCCTGTTTCATTCTGAAACTTCTCTTTTTCGGCCAATGTTAAATTTTTATCCAACACTTTCGTTTTCTGTTTGTTCAGTTTAAATCCTGCTACTTGACCAAATATCTCAATTAGTTCTAATACTCTTTTAGTACTAGTATCTGGCTGTTGCAAGGTCAATACTAGGTCATCTGCAAATGCCCTTAACTTGTACTGTTTGGCTCCGACTTGTACTCCTTTAACCAACTGGTCTCCTCTAATCATATTTAACAAAACCTCCAGGACTAATATAAACAATAGAGGGGATATTGGGCACCCCTGTCGTGTACCTTTTCTATAGGTATTTCTTCCGTTACCACATTGTTTACAATTAACTTTGCTTTTTGTTTAGAGTATATTGCACCTATACCATTTTCAAACCCTTGACCTACCCCCATCCCTTGGAGATTCTTCTTCATAAAACTCCAACCAATATTGTCAAAGGCTTTCTCCGCGTCCACAAAAATTAAAACAGCCTTCCTATTAATGTCCACTTCTAACAGTTCCAAAATGTCTATAATGTTCCTCACATTGTCCGACATATATCTCCCTGGAAGAAAGCCAGTTTGGTCTTTATGAATCTCCCCTACCAACACTCTCTTCAGTCTTTTTGCCATAATGTCCGCAAAAATTTTGTAATCCACATTAAGTAATGATATAGGGCGGTAGTTTTTAACCTGGTTCTTTTCAGTCTCAGTTTTCGGTATAAGTGAGATAAAAGCTTCTTTCCACGACTCTGGTGCCTTTTTCCCTCCAAAATTTCGTTACATACTTCCTTCAGTGGTTGTACTAACCATTCCTTCAACACTTTATAGTATCTGGCGGTCAAACCATCTGGTCCTGGAGCTTTTCCCAATTGCATCTTCTGAATGGCACCCTCTATTTCTTGTCCTGTTATTTTCTCATTCAAAATCCTTCTGCTTTGCTCTGAAATTTTTGGTAATCCATGTTTCTTAACAAATTCTTCTATTTCCTGTTCATTAACTGGCCCTTGTGCATATAATTTCCTGAAATAACCTTGAAAACAATTACTTATCTCATTTGGTTTGTGGATAATCTTTCCGTCCACTTCTAAACTTGTCACAGTGTTCAATTTTTGCCTCTTTTTCAATTGCCATGACAGAAATTTCCCACATTTATCTGCTGATTCAAATGTCTTTTGTCTCATTTGCTTTATTTTCCATTCTATCTCTTGATTCATCAATTCCATATATTGCACCTGATAGTACTTTATTTCTTTCAGAATCTCATGAGACTTTGGTTTAGACCTCAATTTCTTTTCACCTTCTTTTATTTTTTCCAGAATTTTTCCTTTCCTTTCATTTTGATTTTTCCTTTTTATGGAGTTCTGTTGTATTAGGAAACCTCGCATCACGGCCTTACTTGCGTCCCAAATTATTCTTTTTTCCACTTCTGTTCTCAAATTTATCTCAAAATAATCTTTCACTGTTTTTGGGCCTTCTTATAAATCTCTTCATCTCTGAATAGGGTGTCATTCATTCTCCATCTGAAGGATCCAGTTGTTGTAAGTTTCATCTCCATCTTTACAGCATTATGGTCGGAGCAAGTCTTTGAGCAGATTTCTACCTTTTTAATCCTTGGCGCCATACTGCTAGTTACCCAAATTTGGTCAATTCTTGTCCATGTCATTTTTGCTTCAGAGAAAAAGGTTCCCTCTCTCTCAAGAGGGTTCCTTGTTCTCCAAATGTCAATCAAGTCCATAGTTTCAGTCATTTCAAAAAAGTCTTTGGTAGTCTCCCTTCCTTGGAAATTACTTGTCTCTGTGCTTTGTCCATATTTGTGGAAACTACGCCATTCATGTCTCCCATCATTATAATTCTGTAGTCTAAATAGTCCATTAAAGTCTCATGCAACTTCTTAAAGAATTCCGCCTTCCCATCATTTGGTGCATAGATTCCAACTATCAAAATTTTTTCTCCTTGAACTTGTATTTCAATTGCCAGGTATCTTCCTTGTTCATCTTTAAATATCATCTTTGGAGCCAATTTTTCTTTTGCATAGATCACCACGCCTCTTTTCTTAACTTTATCTGATGAAATAAATTCTTGTCCAAGTCTCTTATTTACCAATAATTTCCGATGTGTCCTGGTCACATGAGTCTCTTGTAGGCATATTAGATCTAATTGTTCTCTTTTCAAAATATGAAAAACTTGGCGTCTTTTTCGGGGAAGGTTCAAACCATTACAGTTCCAGCTAAGAAGTTGCAGAGACATTTTGTTATTAAGTACCTGTTCCTCCGACTGCTCCTAGCTTTTGTTCCTCTTCAGATGATGGTATGAGTCCAAATGACAAGTTTGCAATGTCTGTCACTCCTTTTTCTTGTATTGTTGTTTCTACTGTTCCTTTCTGCAAGTCCTCCTGATATCTCTCCAGAAACTGTTCTTTATCTTGAACTGTTCTTATTTTAACCTTCCTTCCTTTGAAAGTAAAAGACAATCCTTGTGGAAACTCCCACCTGAAGGGTATGATATTTTTCTTCAGCAGGTAGACCAAATCTTTATAGAAGGCTCTCACCTCCAAAATATATTTAGGGATATCTTTAAAAATTTGTACTTGACTATTTTCAATCTCCAATGCCTTTTGATAATGCAAATTCAATATCTTATCTCTTTCTCCTTTGGATCTCAATGTGATCAAACAATCCCTTGGCTTCTTACCCTGCCTCCTGCCGAGCCGGAAAGCTGTTGTTATTTCAAGTTCTTCTTCCTGCAGCTCCTCTTGCCAGAATTCCATAAAGTTCTGTGTAAGAAAATCCACAAGGCTGTCTCCCTCACTCTCGGGAACCAATCTCAGTTTCAAATTTCTCTCTTTTCTCTGTAGTTCCAACAAAGATAGAGCTGCATCATGTTCATTCACTTTTTTTGTAATCGGCACGAGCTCCTGCCTTGTCTCCTCCGCAGTATTTTTGCACTTTCAGCAATCTTTCGTGTTTCAGAACTTTCTTGAATTAGTTTATTAATAGATTCTGTATTAGATGTTACACTTGCAGTATTCAAGTCCAATCTTGCTGTCAGTTCTGTCAATTTTTTTGAATTTTCCGTAGATAGCTTTGTCAGTGCTTCTAAAGATTGGTTTATTTTGAGCAGTGCCTGTGTCATTGAATCCATAGATGCTGTTGCCACTTTTTCCTGTGCAGCTGGTGGTATGCCGGGTATTGAGCCCCTTTTCTTTTGTGTCTGTTTTGCTTTGGATCTAGTTGTTATCTCTTCTGCTGGGCCACTCATATCCTCAAGGTCGTTCTCACAGGAAAAACTTGCAAGTGGAAAATCCCACTGTTTCTTTTTCACTGTAACAGTTTCTCTTTATACCCTCTAGAGGGAGCATTTAATTGTATCCAAGTGAAAATATAACAACAAAGGAATCACAGACCAATCAACAAAAAAAGTCCAAGAGTCCACAGTAAAAGTTTCTGTCGCACTTTTTCAGTAAATCACAAGTTCAACAAAGTAATTCCATTAAAGTCCCGTAACTTTGTCTCAGACAAGACCCCAACTTTGTATCCAGTCTAAACTGACAGTTCACTTTGCCGGTGCCTTACTCAGGCAGTCCGTCCTGGGGGTTTGGCAATGGAAGATGTTTTTTTTCCTCATTTAATTTCAAGCAGGTTAACAGTGTCCAAGTTTCTTCCCCCTCTCCTGCTTACTGGGGGGGAGGTTTAAGTCAAATGTCAGGTTTGACAGCTTAAAGGTAATTTTCTTTCAAATGCAGCTTTACTCTTTCGTTGGTTTACTTGCCATGCAGATCGGGAGGCAGACTTCCTTAATTTATGCCTTTCCCGTTTTCAGCCAAATTTCAAGATTTAAATTTAAATGTCCCTTTCAGTCCCTCCGTCTTACTCACGGGCTTTAGAGTCGAATTTCTGGTTCAGGAAGGAATCGGCGCTCTCCGCTCATGGCGACGCGGCTTCACTCCACGGGCTGGGTTGCGACTCTCAGCACCGCGCTCCCCCCGATGCCGCTCCGTAGCCTTTAAAAAGGCTCTTTCACAGTACCGGGGGGCGCAAAAGGTGCCCACCGAGTCTCCTTGTTCACAGGCTTCCGCGCCTGTGATTTTAGGGGTCCCCCGCTCGCCGTAGCAGGTCAGACCCGAACTCGCGGAGCAGTCCTCCTCCGGAGCTCGAAGGGAGGACCGCCATTAAGCGCTGGCGCCGACCGGAAGTCTCCAAAAATGGTTGTCTCTTCTTGCCACCCCGCTTACTTGGCTTGGCTTCAGGCCTTTTCCTCTGAAGGGGAACACATTTTTTTTTACCATCTGTATCACTTGGGAAATACAGTTCATGGTGGGATGTCAGATGCACAATTGGTTTGTGTTAGATTATTAAGCATGAAACAGATGTGGCATGTTTCCGAGAGCAGGAGTCACCTACTCAGATATAATCCTGGACCATTCAGCTTTTGTATTTATAGCCCTGAATACATCGAGGAAGCTAATAAACTGCAATTACAGGCATAGAGGGATCACAATAGATGGTTATATCTTCCAAATGGGCCATTGATGGGTTTGAAAAATACACTTTCTGGTGATAATGGATGCTGCTGTTTTGAACTGTCTGTGTGCTGGGACTGACGTTGTATAGGAGCCCAGAAATTCTCCATTGGCTCAAGTTTGGCTGCTGAAATTCTGCTATCTGTTTAGAGCATCTAAGACTGATCTGTGGCAAGTAAGCTCACTGCTATCCTAAAAAGCAAGGGTAGGGGGAAGAGACGGGATTTATTGCTCCATTTGAAAATACGTTGCAGCATAGCATGATTCAGTTTGTTTATTTGCAGCAATGTTTCTATCAGTCTTTGGAACTAGCACTAACTCCTTGATATCATATAGATCATGACTGATATCCTATAGATCACGGTTGAAGGATGGATGGTGGCTAACAGATTGAGGTTGAATCCTGACAAGACAGAAGTACTGTTTTTGGGAGACAGGGGGCGGGCGGGTGTGGGGGATTCCCTGGACCTGAATGGGGTAACTGTGCCCCTGAAGGACCAGGTGCGCAGCCTGGGAATCATTTTGGACTCACAGCTGTCCATGGAGGCGCAGGTTAATTCTGTGTCCAGGGCAGCTGTCTACCAGCTCCATCTGGTATGCAGGCTGAGACCCTACCTGCCTGCAGACTGTCTCGCCAGAGTGGTGCATGCTCTAGTTATCTCCCACTTGGACTACTGCAACGTGCTCTATGTGGGGCTACCTTTGAAGGTGACCCGGAAACTGCAATTAATCCAGAATGCGGCAGCTAGACTGGTGACTGGGAGTGGCCGCTGGGACCACATAACACCGGTTCTGAGAGATCTGCATTGGCTCCCAGTATGTTTCCGAGCACAATTCAAAGTGTTGGTGCTGACCTTTAAAGCCCTAAACGGCCTCGGTCCAGTATACCTGAAGGAGCGTCTCCACCCCCATCGTTCAGCCCGGACACTGAGATCCAGCGCCGAGGGTCTTCTGGCGGTTCCCTCATTGCGAGAAGTGAGGCTACAGGGAACCAGACAGAGGGCCTTCTCGGTAGTGGCGCCCACCCTGTGGAACACCCTACCTTCAGATTTGAAGGAAATAAGCAGCTATCCTATCTTTAAAAGACAGCCCTGTTCAGGGAAGTTTTTAATATCTAACGCTGTACTGTTTTTAACACTTGATTGGGAGCCACCCAGAGTGGCTGGGGAAACTCAGCCAGATGGGCAGGGTATAAATAAATTATTATTATTATTATTATTATTATTATCATCATCATCATCAGGTTCAGGACTGCACAATACGGGAACCCGCTATGCTGAATGCAGGTGGCCAGCCATGCGTGTTGGTCCTCTTGGTTTTGCTGCCTGCCTGGGATTGCAAGAATGGGGAGAAGGTTATCTAGCACCTGGCAAACCACAATGCATAGCTGTTTAATGAATTCAGGGTTATGTGCGTATGTGTCATAAATTGTTTTGGTGTGGTTAAAGGCTCTCAGTTAAGTTTTGGAAACAAGCAGATAACACTGGAGAGCCAGTGTGGTGTAGTGGTTAAGAGACATGGATTGTGTCCCATGTTTATGTGGGGATGGATTCTGGTCTGGGTTTCAATCCATTTCAGATTTCTCTAGAAGCGGCAAAGAGATTGCAGTTGGGGGCTGCAGATGATTAACCTGCCAGCATCACGTTCGCTTCCGAAAGTGGAGTGGGCAAATATGTCGGTCCCACTCAAGCCCCAGACATATTTAAGCGCAAGGTGGGGTGCAGCAAAAGGCTGGGAATAGGGCTCAGGAGCCATCAGAGTGCTAGGAGGGCCCTCAAGTCAGCAGCTCAGCAGCTAAAGAGAGCCAGTGTGGAGAGCCAGTGTGGTGTAGTGGTTAAGAGTGGTAGACTCGTAATCTGGTGAACCGGGTTCGCTTCCCCGCTCCTCCACATGCAGCTACTGGGTGACCTTGGGCCAGTCACACTTCTTTGAAGTCTCTCAGCCCCACTCACCTCACAGAGTGTTTGTTGTGGGGGAGGAAGGGAAAGGAGAATGTTAGCCGCTTTGAGACTCCTGAAGGGGAGTGAAAGGCGGGATATCAAATCCAAACTCTTCTATTGCAATGGAAAAGATTTTAGTGGTTCTACAGAGTACTGGTGGCAGGATCCTTTTTAAAAAAAAAAAAAATAGAAAGTAGCTTAAAAAACAACCCTATTTCTGCAAATGCTTAGGTTGCAATCCTCAACATGTCTAGCTGGAAGTACCATATTTTTTTGCTCTGTAAGACGCACCAGACCATAAGACGCACCTAGTTTTTGGAGGAGGAAAACAAGAAAAAAAATATTCTGAATCTCAGAAGCCAGAACAGCAAGAGGGATCACTGCACAGCGAAAGCAGCGATCCCTCTTGCTGTTCTGGCTTCTGGGATAGCTGCGCAGCCTGCATTCGCTCCATAAGATGCACACACATTTCCCCTTACTTTTTAGGAGGTAAAAAGTGAGTCTTATAGAGCAAAAAATACGGTATATTCTATTGAATCAAGGGGGGTTTACTTCCAGGAAAGTGGAGTTTGGACTGTGGCCTAGACTGGTCAGCCACGAGAGAAAGACAAAAGGGTTTTGTTTCTCTTTGCGACTCTTCACATTGCTAGTAGGTTACAGAGAAAACATGAGTTTGCAAAGAAATCCTGACAGACTTGCTATGGCCAGGGAAACATGGAACAATGTGCCAGTAGCATGCAAAACTTCCAGAAAAAGGAGAATCAGCTGCTTCTAACCTTCTGTTCTAC